GCTTGCTGCTCCTTTGAGCTTTGACTCCAGTAGGAGCTGCAGGTGCACATACATATGCATACATTCATATGTCACACATGTTTGTGCAGCAATCATCCCCGTTTCAGAAGTCAAACTCTTGACATCCTCAGTTTCCGTATTGTCCTGCAACTCCCCTGTATCACAAACACCCCCCCACCAGCCATGCCCTGCATCTCGCTCTCATCTTGTTTAAATCATCAGGGAAAACGCACCAGTTTGAGTCACTTGCCTGGATTTCCCTCCCAGCTGTGCAGGGGCAAAGGTGGTGGGTGGATGGTAACTGTCACCTCTGGATGACTCTGTCTCTAACAACATCATTTTCAAACACAAACCAGGCCCCTGAACTGATTTTTCCCAATGGCTCTACTCATCTTCTAAGAGAAAAAGTTTTCCCCCATTCCCCAGGACCTCCCATCTATTCCCACCAATGATGTGTAACCCTCTGGAAAGGTCTGGAGAGAAATAAGAAGCAGAAGATGGCTGTATTAATTTATAAATCACAGGAGTGGATTTAATACTTCTCAAAGTATCTTGAAATAGCATATCTAAGGATCATGAAGATTTTTGAATGCAACGAGCTTGATAGATTTAATAAGAGACTTTGGTTCAAGCAGGGAGTTTTCCCTGTTACTATTTCCCGAAAGCAAAACTGCTTCTGTGAAATAGCTATTTCTTTTTTCTTTTAATGGGAAAATTCAATTTCTATTCCTTTTTTTTCTTAGTCAGTTCCTCTTCTTCGCCTTCATTGCCACAAATTCCCTAATCTTGTTATTCTTGGGTGTAGGAAAAGTGTAATCATCTGAGCCATGAAATTGAAGACAACAGCAACATTTCCAAGGAGGTGACTGAAGTCAGAGGAATTAATTCTCCCAGCAGACAGCTCTTATTTAGAACAAATGTGATTTTAAGAACTGAAGCTATGTTCTTAATGAGGCTCTATGAAAATATATGTAGCCCACAGCTGCTGGGAAATTCAGCATTACGCCAGAGAAAGGCATCCTGTCAGGAGAACAACAGCCAACAGGATCATTCAGTAAGTTCATCGCTTAGTTCCCTGCAGAGAAAACCCATCTCTCTATTTCTCACCCTTAGAGATTGCTGCCCTGAACAAGGGTATCTATCTACAGCTATTTATTGAATGACCAAAACTGGCCCACCAAAAGAGGTATTCTGAGGTTTAATCAAGGAAAAGAGATGGTTTTTCCTCCGGCTCTTTCAAATGAAGCCAGCACACATGAGCAAGGAAGTCGGCACACCACATAGGGTTAATGCACGGAAGTCCTTGCTCTAGGGTGGTACAGATGCTGAGGTGTTTCTTTTCTTTCCCTGGGATAAGCAAGACTAATGCTTTGATCTGAGTTGAGACCCCTTTTCAGCTCTGTGCCTCAGTTTCCTTCCTCACCTGTTGTCTTTCTGTTAACCCAGAGCAGGGTCTGCCTTACTTGCACCAACACAGCGAAGCACCATAAGCACAGGTGGGACCATTAGTCATCACCATGGTGCAAGTCCACATTCAGAGGGATTTCCAGGGATTTATGGCCAGAAAAAGGGTTTCCCAGCAATGATGCAGCAAAAATTTGCCTTAGCTTTGGGGCTGGTTGTTGTTTTCAGATGAAGGATAAGAAAGAAAAGCCATTTGGAGATCATTACGCAGCATGAAGCGGGGAGGGCAGCCTCGGGGAGCTTTCCATGCTCTGCTACCTAGGTTTACTTCCCCAGAGCAAACAGATCTGCCGCTCCCAGGTTCAGCTGTAATTGCCAGCCAAGGGTTCCTTTTTCCCAGTGAACTCAGTGGCCTCATGGAAGGTTCCCAAATAAGCTGGCTGCCTATTTGCACAACAGCCACAGGGTGCAGGCGGCAGTGATACGTCCACCCACAAGCCAGACCCCTTGGGTTTGCCTGCAGCACATCCTTCCCACATGCAAAATCTGCCTCTGACTGGAGGGTGCAGAGCAAGCAAATGGGATAAAGCACCAGACACTTAGAATGGGAGAGGGAAGATCAGCTCTCAATGAGAGCATCAAGTTTGCCTGGCTCAGCTGGAGATAAAAAGATGAACCACAGATCATACCAATTTCTCATACTGAGATAACAACAGAGGATTTGTCTCCAAGAGAAGCATCTTTTCTGCCTATGTGCCAGCAAAATAAGTAATTTTCCTGTCTGACTTTATAGCAAACTTTGTCAAATATCCTTCTGGCACCAGGCCAGAGAGCTATATAAGACATATATATACATGTTCCTTGTCACAGCAGATTGATGCCAGAAACTCCAGCAAAGATTTCAGCAGCAGAGACCTACCTCCTGTGATGGCTTTAGGAGGGTGCACAGATCTCTGGAGGCACAGCTTGTTTAAAGCACCATTGTGGAGCAACCTGGCTTTTGGAACTTAGCTGAAAGCAAGGGGTCTGGGAAGGGACTGTGGCCCCAAAGCTGCAGTTTGGTCCTTATGTAGACACAGAGCCCAGCAAGATCTTATTTTAGGGGTGCCTCGAGGATTGAATAATAGAGCAACTCTCAAGTGTTTGGATAGGAAATTTCATCAGGAACCTGGGAAGACTTTTTCCTGGCAAAAGCTTCATGAGAACTGGTGTGTTCTGAGGACAGGCCAATTTCAAGAAATCAGAATTTCCTGATGAATGTGTGCTCCCTGGAAAAACTCCTGGGGACTTTTTGCATGCAAGGATGCCTTGAAAAAACATCATTGGTCCTCCCAGGTCTGACACCCTCTGTGCTCTGAGAAATCAAAGCCGTGTCAGCATGTGCAGGTCCCACAGAGAGACTGAGAGTGATTGGAAGTAGCAGGAGATCTGCTGATGGAAATGGAGAAATCTCCTCTCCGCAGAATTTGTAAATGAGACTGAGCAAAGCCATGGAAACGAGCCAGTACAGAGCAATCCTCACTGACCAACCCCAGTGCTGCAGCTGTCTTCTGCAGCCTTGTGGTTCACTGTGAGCCCGGGTGAGAAGTGGTCCCCTCCTTGCTGGAGCTCCCTAGATCAGCAGTGGGGGCAGCCGGAAGAGTAGAAGTCCCCAGACTGGGCATCACTGCATGGAGCCAGTCTCCAAGAGGTTTAAATTGATATTAAAAGGAAAAACTCAAGCTCCCACCTTCCCTAGGAAATGTGAGATAGCAAATGGTGTAAGACAACGCCAGGGGAGATGCTCCACATCTTTAGTCCATCTGGAGGGGTGTGCTGCTGCAGAGGATGAGCATCTGCTGTGGTTTCACATTGCTCTGGGAACACGGGTAAGGTGTCACTCTGAGGCTACCCCAAACAAGGAGCTCTTTGGGGTCATTAGTTTGGGAGCCAAGAGGTGTCTGAGGCTCTCTCCTATGGATGCTGAAAGCTCAGCTGAGCTGACAGCATCTGACAGCTGGAGAAAACCAGCCTTTCAACCTCTAAGTTGAGCACATTTGCTATGGGCTTACTGGAGACTAATGACATAAAAGCTCATATTTTTCTAACAGATGGACTTTGCAAATGGAGATTTCATGTTTTCATGGATATTTTTGCTCTTTCATGGATCTTTTTTTCCTTCTTCCAGGACTTACCCAGGGAAAATGCCCCATTTCTTGTACCTGGAAGTTTTGCCCCTTTGCTGTGGACTTAAAGTCATGCAAAAGAATGGCAGTTTATGAACATTCGTGGAGCTCCTGAGCCAAAATCAGAGCGATAGGCCACAAAGGGGGGTGAGGGCTCCCAGGGAAGGATAAGCATTTAACAGGAGGGAAGCATGGAAGGGGTTAGCCAGCTCAGCCTAATGAAAGGGAAGCTATAGGAATGTGTTTCAGGGATACAAATTTCCAGGTGGCCAAAAGGTACCTTGGTTAAAGACCATTGTTTGTACAAGGGTGAAAAGAAATAAAGTAGCCACAGATAAATTTGTGCTGGGAATTAGAAAACGCTAATTACATTTCATGTGATGTTTCTGCTTTATGCTTCCAGATGGAGAGAGAAGCAGCTCAGGGCCCAGGTTAGTGCTGGGCAGCTGCTATGGCAGGAAAGGTACCAGCTGCGAGTGCAGGAGGGCAGCAGTGGATGCTCAGCAAAGCCTCCTCTCTGTTTTTCTCTCTGGTTCCACCTTTAAAAAGAAAAACCCTTCCAGGGAGTTCTTGCTAATGGCCAAAAAAAATCCTTTCTCAAGGGAGCAGGCTTTCATTTTACACACATTGTCAATGGAGCCTCCTCAGCCAGCTCATTTCCCAGGTCTGTAACCAGCCAGCCTGCCTGGAACGGAGAGATTTCCTCTCGTCTCAAATCACTTGGCTGCACATGGGAGAGAAGCCCTTTGACGAAGAGAATTTGCAAGGCTCTCAAATCCTCTTTATTCTTGCTGTGCTATCCCTCTTTGACTCATCTCCAAGAGACCATGTTGGGCTAAGCCCAGGAGGAGCATGGAAAGGTGATGGCACCAATCCTAGACACACACAAACACAACAGATACAGCTTCCACCCCTTTCCCGCACCATAAATTAAACCCCATCTGTACCCAGGAGTGGGGAGGATCAGCTAAAATAATCCAGTACATTCCTCCATCACCAGAGGGGCTGAATTCAGAGCAGCTCACAGTCCTCATCCACCCTGGACCACAGACCTGCTCATCCCATGTCCCTAATACACACGAGGCCCACAGTTCACATCTGGTCTGTTCAGGTACACAGATGGAAGTTAACACACACATGCAAAAAACAAAAGGCTAAAATGGGCTATTCCTGTGTTACCCAAATCAATGACAGCGGGAGTCCATGGTGGGACGTGTGTTTAGGCAACAAGGGCTTCAAGTATCAATGTCATTCAAGGGGCAACATGAATTCTTCGGGATTCTTTTTCCTTGCAGCTAGTTGCACTGTCTAGAAAATCAAGCAGGAGATTGAGGAGCACATGGCAAAATGAATACAGACAGCCCTGGGTAACACACAGTCCTGGGGTGAGGGAGAGGGTGGTTGGTACAGTGAAGGAACCGGCAAGCTTACTGAGTGCAATTATTTAATGGGTCTGTCGTTTCCAAATTCCACATTGCACACACAGAAATAGTCATTTAGAAAAAGACTCACACTAGAAACGCTGACTTGGAGAACAAGAAACACTCCCTGTCTCCTGCTACACAAGGAGGCATGAGATTTACAACAACATTACAGCCGATCACAGAGGCGGACCAACAGACAGACACGGGAACCCTGAAAGACAGAAAAAGGCAAAAGCAGGGCATTCATGCTTCAGAAGGCAGCAGCTGTTCCCATGCCCACCTAGCTGTGCGGGCAGGAGGCTGGGGTCATGGCTTGGCATACAGACACACCACACCAGGGATCAGCATCTCGCTGGTCCTACACCTCTGCTTGCCCAGGTACCATCTCTGCTGGTTGTCGTCTCTTTGGTCCCAAGGGCATCAGCTCCCAGAGCAACACTAGCTTTATGACAACCTGCACGTGCAGCACGGGATGTGCCTGGTCCCAGGGCTGTGCCAGTGTTCCCTGTATGGTACTGACTGTGATGCTGCAAGTCAAGTGTGAACCACACTAAACTCGTAGCTGGCCTTCAAAGTCTCACTTCTGCCTCCATTCCTGCCCAAGGGGCCTTTGCCTTCTACTTGCATGGGGTCTGCCATTGTATTATCCATCACTGGTAGCATTTTGTGGTGTAGCTGTAATAAAGCCGGTATGCACACCCCAGACTTGGTTTTCAAGCCTTGAGCAAGCAGGGAAAGGAGTTGTATGGTTACCACTTGATTTTACTGTATTTTTGGCTCCAGATACTCAAAGAAAAGTGATGCGGTAACTGTATTCAAGTGGACAAAGCCCCTAAAGGACTTCCAGCTTGTTGTGTGCCATCCCAAAAGGCTGGTGAGACAGCAAGCTGGGAATCAAACCCAAATCATCAAGCTACTCTGTTGAATTGATACAGCAGTCACCAGCAGGAAAAAAACCGTGGGAGCCTTTTGTTCAGTACAGCAGTTCCTGTGTGCCAAAGGGCAGCGGTGCTGGAGGCAGAGCTCACCCATGAAAATGAGCTCTAAAGGAGATGATTGTGCAGAGACCAGACCATAGACACTCATCTACCTTCAAGCAATCTATCACTTCCAGATCAGGAAGCACCTAAGCAATAGCTGGGAGCATGGAGGCTGGGAGAGCACTTTGAGCAAGCAACATCCTGGTTTTGCTGTCTTCATGCTCTTCAGACCTTGCTCTTGGCCCTGCCAGAAATGGGATGCTAGGCTAGCTGGGCCTTTGGAATGATCTGGTATGGTCACTCTTGTGTCCATATGACTTCCTAATCACTCAAAGTCCCAAGAGCCCCATTTCAAATTGAGGTTTTCCATTAACAGAGAATCTATGCAGCCGTTCCTACACAAAACCCACTTTCCTGCTGCTACCTCCCCACATACTGGTCTTGCCTATCACCACTGTCCTTCCCCACACCAATCCCTTATCTTCCAAAACAAGTGAACAGCCACTACAGGAGTCAGAGCAAAGGCCCATTAGCACAGCACCATCTTCCCATTGAAGAACATGAAGCTTTTGCAGCAATAATGCATCACATAAGGGTTCCTCCGAGGCAGAGCTATTGTCTTTGTGCTGAACAGCTCTCGATAAATTCTCTCCTGCAAACTCATCCCATTGCTTTGCAAGCTCATGAGTTCATTGAGCAGCCAGTTTCCTGCAGCAAGGAGATCTACTGCCGATTGCCCGCTCTGTGTAATGGATCTTGCAGACACTTCAGAGAAGGAAATAAGAGTCACCATCTTCCATCACAACTATACTAAAGCCCATACAGTTATTGGCCCCTTTCCCAAGCTGGTGTGTGTCCAAGGCCAGCCTCCCACAAAAATATGGGAAGGAAGCTGCCTAGCACTCAGTACACATGTTGCCCAAAGATTTCATTTCCAGTTTCCTGCCAATCTCTGCTTACTCCAGATTCCCCAAGGATTCAGTGTAACTGACCTTCCAAGATACATACTGCACTGAGCAGCACGGCTGCAGCTCAAACTGATTAAAACAAGAGGAAAATACCAGTGCTAATGGTGATCCTTGTGATTTGTTGTCTCCTAGAATGGGTGGTGAAGTCACCTGAACGAAGGTAACACAGGACAAGTGTTTTCAACAGAGGGGAGATTGTTTCACACTGCTTTTTCGATAGCAAACACACAGCTTTGTCCCTACTGCCAAAAAGCCTGGCACTAAAAATGCTGAAATCTTCTTGTGACTGAGTGGCAGCAAGCTGTAATTTACTGCATTCCTGCTTCTTTTATGTTCAAGAATTGCTTCACTTCTGAGAAGAAAGAGCTGTCATTTGTCAGCCCCGTGTAGCCCCTCCTTCCAGCCATCACATTTCCACATTAAGCTAGACAAATTAATTCATTCACCTCTTCCTATCCACTCCCAAAAAAAGCCGGTGTATTCCCAGGAACTGAGAGTCATCCTTTCACAACAACATCATAATCAATTTTCTTTTTAAAGCCATGTAATGGGCATGTTTCAGCAAAAATTCAGAATTATCCTGCTGTGGCATCCACCTCCCTTCAATTGATTCAGAGAAAAACCCGTCTGTCTGCTGGCTTTTCACAAGCAGCTTCCCCACATCTCTGACCGATGGCACATCATGGATCTCTAGCCCACCCATTGCAGCATCTGGCTGGCTGCTAACAAAAGCTCTGCCTGGGTTTAGGATGCAGCCAGGTCCCTGGGCAAGTTGAGCTGTATGGCCTCTCCTCCTGCGGTATACTTGGCCACTGGTCCATTGCCTTCCATGGTGAAGAGCTTGCAAGCCTTTGCATTCTCATGAACTGGAGTGGACTTCTTTGAGGAGATGGGGGAATTTGTGGGGCTCAGCTGAACAGCAGTGGTATCCTGCACCGTGTGCTCGCTAGTTTCAATTTCAAAGGCTGTGTTGCCAGGTTTGATGAGCCCAATGTTGGAACCTGGTTTGGATTTCCTCGCCCCATGAGCTGGGGGCCTCCGGCTGCAGATGCAGCAGGCACCGAAGAACGTGAAGGCCACCACCAGCAAGATGGGTCCGATGATGATGGGAGGGTTGTTCATGGGGATGAAGGTCCCAAAGGCAAATGCTCCCACTAAGGTGATGTTGATCCCTGCTAGCATGATGCAAAGTCCACAAGCACAGCAGAGGGCAGGGGAGGGGAGGCCCTGAGGTCGTGTCTTTTTCTGGATGGGTTTCTGGGGCAAAGAGGCGCTGCTCTTTTCACTGAACATGTTGAGGTTCATCAGAGGTCACTTCAGTCCTCACAGGATGTACACTGTGTTGAGAAGGTTAGTTTTGGTCTCCTGCTGCCTTGAAATCCCTGGAAAGGAACAAGAAAGCATGCAGTTGTTAGAGCAATGAACCAAAGGCACCTTTCCACCACAGTTCATGATGACCAGCATCATCTTCTGTGCTGATGCCAACAACTAAATAGAGATCCAAGCCTGTTCCCAAGTAAGGGCTCTCACTGCCTATGGTGCCCATATGCAGTCAGCCTCAGGCTGGGGAACTGAGCCCAGTGTGCTCAACGACCTTTGCCTAGAACACAAAGCAGGAACACATAGCCCTGGATGGCAACAGCAGTTCTCCATGGTTGAGATTATTGGATGTGATAAGAGTTGGCTTTGTGTTCATTGTATTTTGCTGGGAAGCCGAATTGCTAGAAGCCAGATTGCCAGCAGTTTGCTGGTGATGCCTTTGATTTTACAGACAGGAGAGCATTTCTCTTCCCAGCCTGATTGCAAACAATAGCATTCTGCCCTCTCCTACCCCTTGCCTCACTCCCTAGCTTCTCCCCCTCCTCTGCTGTTAAATCACTTTCAGAAGGGTTGCTGGAGGAAAACTGGTACCATACAGGTTTCCACTGCAAGAGCCAAGAATCATTGTTGTGCTATTAACACTCTGCAGCCACTACATGAAAAGAACCCCACCAAATCACGCCCCCCCATCACTCTAAAACATGCAATGCCAAACATTGCAGTTGGACCAGCAAGAAATGGCATTTTCAACATGTTTCCTAGGTTATAACATTTTCCTGCAGCTCCAGCTGAGGCAAAGCTCTGCTGCTCTATCTGGTGTCATACCTCATTTCCATGGCTTGGGCTTTTGTTTGGACCTGAATGAAGTGCAGCAGTGAACTTGCAGTGAAGCTCATATCCAGTGAGACATCAGCTGGAGCTGACAGGGACAGGCACACGGAAGGATTAAATCCTTCCTCATTGAGGGATGCCTGGCTGGGGAGGAGTCTCTGTAGGCAAAGATTTCTCCAGAGAACTGAGGGTGTGCAATGGAGAAGGGGCATTTTCTCTATTAACCAGGCTAATACACACGCATGTTGCTCCAGCAGTGTCTTTTTGTTCTGCCTGGGAGTCCTGGCACACTGCTGTGAGCTGGAGCCCTGATTCTGCTTCCTTCACCAGCCCTGAAGCAGCAGCAAGATAGCTTCTGGTTAAAGGCTCACATACACACACACACACTGCTCTCAGCCCAGCTCTTCTGCATGCCAGTCTGAACCTTAGGCAGATACAGGCTGCAAACACCCCAGCATGGCTCTTCCCCTCCATTTACCATACATTTTCCCACTGCAAACTGCTCAGCAGGGAACGGTGTGGGTCCTCATGGCTAAACCATATAACAAAAGCACTTCACTGGGTTTCTCCCTCCTGACTACTCAGCACTCACTTGCTTCTACCCTGCAAGTATTCTCCCTCCTATCACAGCTTCTGGGCTCTAGTGGGATGCACAAACAAGCCAGCTGCCTCTGCTCCTAGGCAAGGCAGAGACCAGAGGTCATGCTCCCACTGAGATTTCCAAGAGGAACTTCAACCTGTTTCCCATCACATCTGTCAGTAGTCATCTGTACTTGCTCCAGAGAGACTATGCTGGTGTCTGGCTGCTTTCAAGGCTGCAGCAGTATCACTCAGCACAGTCCCTGGTAGCTCTTTTTCTCTACCTGGCAACTTTTGTTCATCATTACAGCTCTGTGAGCATTATGGGTTAAGCTTGGGAAAATCCTCACTGGGCCCTCCCCAGAGGAAGAGGGAGACAAGACACCTTGACAGTGATAAACCAGGGCAGCCCATCCAAGGACAGCTTATCCCAGCAGGTGAAAGAGAGCCACAGATCCACTCTGGAAGGATAAATGACCTGAGAGAATGATACAGCTGGGCTCAGTGTGGGTACTGTCACCATTAGCTTCCCAGGCGTTCATGGCTGCTTCCCAGAAGGAGAGGGAACCAGATCTACAGTACAGAAATAGGGATGCAAGGACAGAGAACTCTCACCCTGCAGCTTCAATGGAAGGAGGCACTGGCTGCTCCTTGGTCCATGCGATGGCCCAGCTTGTGCCAAGGGGCTGGTCAAGCAATGGCAGCTACCTGCCTCCTGGAAGGTGAGGAGGGAAGAAAGGAAGTTTGCAAATAAACATCTGTGGCTAAAGCAGGGATGAGTAACTTGCCAGGAGTCCTCATCCTAGGGTGCCTATTGGGTTGGGTGTCTGGGAACATATCAGTATCAGCCTGCACAAAAGGGTCCTGGAACTCTTTAGATACATCTATGACTGCAAAACATGTGTTTGTCAGTTCAAAGGGACAGGTCTTACACAAGGACTGTTACGCTGCCTGCAGAGTGAAGGTATAGCAAAATGAATCCAAAGGTTTGTGTTGCACTCCCTTAGATGAGGAATAAAAGAACCTGGTGGTAACTGAATGAGCAAGACACCAAACCTGCTGAGATGGCATCAGAGGAAAACATAGGGAGCTAAGTCTGCCTCATTCACATTGTGCATATAGAGATACATATATATACACATATATAGAGGTACATATATACATATACATATATAGATATACTCAGAACCATGGGACAGAGCTAGCTGGAGTGGTCAAAAATAGAGACAGGGTTGAGATCTTATTTAAACTGTGTGAGCAGTTCTGTAGCTTGTCAAACCCTTTTCTACAGCTGCATCATAAGGGCTCTTGCCATGCTACGTCCAAGACAAAACCCTTTCCCCATCCTCTTTGCTTGGAGCACCTACATATGATAATGGACCTTTCCCAGCAGAAAGCAGTGGAGTCACTGGAGAATCCAAAGGAACCCTGCCTGAAGTAGAGACCTCTCCCATCAGCCTGGGGACAGAAGAACTTGGGAGACAGCACCATCACAAAGCTAGGACATGACCTGCACAAACACCATGGGGTAACCAAGAGTACATAGAAGACAGTGTGTTTGGCCTGGGAACAAAGTGGATCATTGTTTGCTCTTGTCTCAATCTCCATATAAAACATCAGGGATTACACACAGGGGATTCCTGTTGGAAAAACAGATGATATGGGGATGAGAAAACCAGCAAAGCAGTGGAGGATAAAGCGAAAAACAAACCAAAGCCACATAATGCCTTATACCATCCTCTGCCTGATGAGACCCCGCAACAACCCCAAGTCCATCTTTATTCTGATTGCTATGTACAACAGAAGCATCTTTGTTTTCCTGCCATATCCTAGAGCACAGGCTGATGCTGTGGGCAGTAAGGTCCCTCTCCATCCCACTCCTAACCTGCCTGAGAACATCTGGCAGCTTTTACCTTCTACTTCAGCCAAGTTAATGGGTTCAAAAATGACCAATTTTCCAGCCAAATTATACTGTCCAAAATGACAAACTTCCTTTACCTCAGGAGTGAAAAAAGTTCTCTTTGGGCTCTCTGTGTGAAACAGGTTCTTTTCTTATCAGTTAGAGTCTAGGTTTCTTCCTCAAACATTTCATCTTGAAATGCATTGCAGCCAAGCACTACTACACACCAAACAAGCACTGCATATCCAAGCTAGAGTGATGGGAATCCAGAGTCTGTAGTGACTCCTAGGGGAACATCCATCCCTCCCTGTATTCTCAGGGGAACAGAGAGAGATTTTCATTCACAGCTATGAGACTTCCTAGAGCTTGAGAGGTATACTGATAATATTCAGCCAGCATTTCAGGAGCATCATTTAATGCCACACCAGCAGCACCAGCAGCATGCACAGCTAGGCACGCTTTCCTCTCAGTTGTAGAGGGGGATCGAGCTGTCATCCTTCCACACTGTCTCACAGCAGCAACACAGCCAAAATATTTGACAGACCCCAGATGAATCTCCTTTCTAGAGGTGTGATGGCACAGTGAAATAATGACAGTGATCAGCAAACAGAAATTGCAGTCAGACAGCTATAACCACCCCCCCGCACACAGACATATTCACAAACACGCACCCACCCACCCTTTAGCTATCAGGAGAAGCACAAGACTTTCTCCCTGGGCAAAGTGCTGGGAAACTCCCAGGCAGAGCCTCAGTGCCTGGAAGGGGAGGACGCTTACCTGGATTGGAGCGTGGTGCCGGGGAAGGTGATGGAGAGAGCGGGTGCCCCGCGTCTTCCTTCACCCTTTAGTCGGGGATGACAAAGCCATGGCTAGTCCCAGCATAGCCAGGGCTGGAAGCGCTGGGAGAAGGATCTCACCTGCCTCCTCCCCGCTGTTCACCGAGCTCGGCAAACTTTGCTCGGGTGCCAGGCGAGCCCCGGGAGAGCTCAGCGGGCTCTGTGCGAGCTTGGCCGCCTTCTCCCCACTTCCCTCCTTCCCCTCCGAGGATGATGTCCTTCTCCTCAGGCAGACGCAGCATCGCTGCCCCGCTGCATCCTCTCGCGCCTCCTCCTCCTCCTCCTCCTCCCTCCCGCGGTCCCCAGCAGGGCTCAGCCCCACCGTCCGGCGGGCTCTCACCCTCTCCCCGCGCTTTCTTTTCCTCTTCCTTTTCTACTTCAGGGCTGCAGCTCCCGCCCCCTTCAGCTGACAGAGGTGCCCGGAGCAGAACAGCCCCCCTTTTCCCCCCCCGGACACAGGAAAATCCCCGGAGCCGGTCTCCGCAGAGGGACAGCCCCGGCCGGGGAACAAAGAGCCGGGGAGAGGAGGCGAACAGCACCGCTAAATGCCAAGGAGTAAGATGCGGGCTCCCTGCTTGCTGTAGAGGAAGGGATCTCTTAAACGCAAGAGGGTAGAAAAGCACATTTTGAGCAATAAAAATCGAATTACAACTGGTGTCCGGGCGCCTTTGGATGCTGGAGGGATGCAGGAGTGACTCCTGGTCGGCAGTGAGGATGCTGAGACAGGACCTCCCAGACATGTAAATGTTCAGGGTGTGGGAGCTCACAAATCCAAACAAAACAGGTCTTCATATGCAAAAGTACTGTTTTAACGAGGCAAACAGATCTCAGGTTTGCTTAAACGTAAAACATGCCTGATTCTAGACCCTGTTTCAATCATAGCCAAGATCTCAGCACCCGTATTAACAAGACAATCGCTGTCTGCAGAGTTGGGGACCGCAGGAAACAAGGCAAACTCCAAGTTGTGCACTGGATGGAGTGCAGGTAATCCTTTCCACAGCTTAAGCGGTGCTGAGGCTCACATGCCCTTATCTGCTCTCCATGCCCACACTGCTGTAACCAGCCTGGATGCTGCCAGTGACAACCAAACAGAAGCTCTTCTCCAGCTTATTGCAGAAGAATCCTGTACGAAGCAGGTTGAAGCTGATTGAACATGAATCATGCTCCCCTCTTTTTTAAATTACTGCTTTCAGGATCTCGAGAGAGAGAGAAGGAGAAAAGTAACACAGAGACAGTGAAAAACAAAGGTCAGAGAGAGAAATTGCTGAAGAGGAATGAACACTTATTTCTCTCTATTCTCCAGGCACTACTTCATCCTAAGTATTCTTATTACAGCCGCATTCTCTACTGCATCACGTTGCATTTCTACTTACAGGCCATCCTAGAAATTCAGGCAAAAAAAAAGCTTTGTAGAAAGGGGTTCGGCCCCTGCTGAGGAACACAACTCTGTTTTCTCCTTAGCTTGGGTAATGCTAGCAGCACACTGTATTACTAGGGCCGGGGCGGGGTATCAGAAAAGCACTGCTGGTCAGAAAAATTGACTGCCTGGGCTTCTAGAAATAAATAACTGGGAAACCTCATTTCAGGCCTTTCCAGAGATGCAGCATCTCCTCTAGGGATTCCCTGGCCCTGTAACATGAGGCTCAAATTGGCTCAGTGTCCTCATCCCTACCAGAAAAGTGAGGGAGAGCACACGATGGAGCATTTTCTAGAGAAAATCTCCCAAGGCACATCTGGAAGAGACAGTTCCACCTGTGGCAGAACTGGTGTTTAGTGTTTGCTGACTGTTGCTGGGTAGAAATCCGAGTGGCTGAACTTGTTCTTGATGTGGCTTCATAGAGCTCAGCAGAAACAGCCATGTTATTTAGGAACAGTGGCTGTAATAGGGAAAGAGACCTCCAGGGTCATTGATTTGAGTCCCCTGCTATCAGTTTATATAATAGCATTCATAAAGCACTCAGGCTCCAAAGGGAGCCAATTAATACTGAATGACCTGTGAGCTGGTCCTTAATCGCACGAGGAAGCCATGAAGAAGGCTGCACCCGCTTCAGGTTGGCTCTTGCATGACTCCCCATCACACTTTCTGCTAATGGTCCATAAACCCAATAAAAAGGCCTTAGTAAAACATTAGATATTTAGGGCTCCACTGAAGCAATCATTCTGTGTTTTGCATATGTGGCCCTGACAACCTGGCAGACTGCCTTCATGTGATTAAAACAACTGCTAATTCAAGAACTAAATTTAAAGGCTAGATTTCCCACTGGTATAAATCAAAGCAGAATCATTGCATTGCAGAGCTTTGATAGCTCATGAGCATTCATGATTTAGCAAGGGGGTTTTGCCAGACTGATGGCTCCTAATTTCGAAATTGCCAGGACCTGGAAGCCTTGCCTTCTTTAGAAGCAAGATCCCAATCCTCAGATGACTAGAAATCATATTCCTCTGGGAGAAGCTGTTTGTTCCCAGCTCCTGCTGAATTCAGAAAGCAGCTTAAGTCAGAAATTTATGAATGAGAGGCAAAATTGCCTTTTCCCATTGTCGGTTACTGACTCTGGTTTAATTACTAAGAAACCTAACTCAGGCAGCCTTGCACACACAAAGGCTGGGCTTCGGTTCAGTGTCACCACCTCCTGGTCTGAAGCAGGTCAGGGTGGTGATTACCACATATGAAGCCCTTAGATATCATGCTGGCTTTCTGGGGTTTCTCTCTGCAAGAATAACTGAAAACAGGTGGGATGGATAAGAATGATCCATGCTTTCACAGGGTTTTTGGTTGGGACTAACACTGGACTGAAAATGTGTGAGCAGCATCCATGTCTACTAGAGCTGCAGCATGCCAACAGCCCAGTTCCTCAGCACAACAGGACCGAAAAAGCAGCAGCCCATGATGCTGCCTGCTGAGCCATACCCATCACACAAGGAGCATGTGGGAGACAGAGAATGCCTGGAAGTTTATGGTCCAATAAGATCATTAGACAAAGGTCACTGCCGAAACGTCCCCCTGCAGATTTCCACGAGGTCTCCAGAACTGGCATCTCTCTCTGCATTTACATTTTAATTGCCTCTTAAGGGAAGGGAACGCCAGACTGAATCTGCTGTTGCTCCAAACCAACTCTAAATGCCACCATGTCCACCTGACAGTTTGCACTTTCAGGGTCTGCTCTCTCATGGCTCTGTGCTCTCTATGGCAATTCCAAGAGGGCACGGCCAATTTCTTCAGCAATTCTTACTTCTCTGTAACATCAGGTACAGAAAGAAAGAGGTAAAAAAGTGTTTGGCATTCCTAGAGGCAGCTGTGAAATGACTGTGCAGGAGATTCAAACGCAAGAAGGAGACACCTCCTTGTACAGTGTATAATTAAAATCACAGGACTTCACTGTGGACAGCAACAGTATTCACATGCTCAGACCCAGGACATAGGTGGGACTGGACCTGCCAAACACAAGAGACCAGCTGCAGCTTCATGATGTCCCAATGTTTCTGATCACTGGGAACAGCCTGAGGAGGAAAGCTTCCTCTAGGTGTGTCATGGCCCATATAACCCAAGCTTCTACTATTGACTACTGTTGAGGAAGAATAATAGGCAAGATAGATATTTTTACTTGATCCCATATGACTGTTCTCATGTCAAGGATGAAGCCTTTGTTGTTTCTGAATGTAGACCAAAACTTGCTTTTCTGACCAGAGAGACTTGGCAGCCACACTTAATGCGTAATCTCCCTCAGGACAACAGCAATCCCCAACATACACACCACGTTTCATCAGGGATATTTCCTACTTCACTCTGTGTCCTGGGTTCAGCAGTAGCAGTCATTTTTCTCCTTCTTGGTAGCTGGTGCAGTGCAGTGTTTTGACTTGCAGCTTGGGAACAGAGCTGATAGCGATGTTTTGGTTTGGCCAAGGACTTTGTGAGCCTCATGCTCTGCCAGGGAGGAGGGGAAGCCGGGAGGAAGCAGAGACAGGACACCTGACCCAAACTGACCAAAGAGGTATTCCATACCACAGCACGTCATGCCCAGGATGTAACTGGGAGTTAGCCGGAAGGGCTGGTAGACTGCGGGGTTGGAGGAGGTATGGGTCAGAGCATGGTCGGGCTGGGGGGGCAAGTTATCAGTTGGCTGGTGGTGAGATGTCATATTCTCTTCCCTTGTTTTTCCTTTATCATCACTATTACTGGTGGTAGCAGCAGTGATTTGTGTTATACCTTAGTTACTAAACTGTTCTTATCTCAACCCTTGGGAGTTGCATTCTTTTTGATTCTCCTCTCCGTCCCTCCGGGAGTAGGGGGAGGGAAAGAAGGGGGGGGTGTGTGAGTGAACGAGTTACCTGACTGGGTTTAAACCACGACAGTTCTTATTGGCGCCCAACGTGAGGCACGAGGGGTTGAGATAACAACAGATCTGACTGGATTGATAGTCACTCGTCACAATGCTGATTTATTGGCTCTCAAGGTTGTTCCTCTTGATCTCACAGTTTCAGTATATTGTACCTTACTTCCATCCGGTATTTGCTGTATTAGTGTTTTTCAAGTGTGGGGCTTGGGCTAAGGTTTTTGTGCCATTGTACTTTATGGTAATGACTTGTAATACAATAGAATCATTGATCATGAAACTGATCTGGCTTATGTTCCCAGTGTGGTCACCACCTTTATACTTTGGGAGGTATATAATAGAAGTGCTTAGCAATTACACATCTTTTTTCTCCTTCTCAGGTGCTCAACCTGTGAAGGAGACATCCTTTTACCCTCCCAGTCGTCCCCCCAGACCATTTACATTTGAGAGTTTTGAAATTTTTGAATGGCCTTTTAATGCTGTTGAGACTTGTTTGCTGATTGTGATGGGAATCACCATGCTAGCATGCATACAGAGTGTGTTTTGCCCACGACTGATTTCAAGAGTTAAGCAGAGTCAGGTTTGGGTCTTGTCTGGGGTCAAACGACGATGTAAGAGGACCAAGAGATTTTTCCTGAGGCTGGACAGCCATGAGTGGCAGGGTGTGTGGGATAGTATGGGCAAGTATCTAGTCCACTGGGCCCCTCCAGTGCTTTGGAAGCATCGGAGATGGAAGGCAGCTGTACGGAGTCCCCAGTAACAAGCTGCAGAAACTGCTGAAGGGGACAGTGAATTATTTTAAGCCTGGTGGGCCCATGGCACTTCAGGCCATCAGAGCAGAGATGCAACATAGAGATGGACTCATGATCGAGGGGTGGACTTAGCAATGGACACTATTGCCCAGGTTATTCACGAGTGTGAGCACTGCACACAGTCTCTCCTGCTCTGGAAGACTGGTACAAGAGTTGGAGACCAACATCATGGACCAGATGGACGCAGCAGCTTTATAAGGACTGGTCCATGCACTTAGATGAGAGTGATGATATATTGAAAATGTGGGATCTGAGCATGATGTGAATGGTATGGAATAAGGGGTGGATAATGTCCTGGGTTCAGCAGTAGCAGTCATTTTTCTCCTTCGTGGTAGCTGGTGCAGTGCAGTGTTTTGACTTTCAGCTTGGGAACAGAGCTGACAGCGATGTTTTGGTTTGGCCAAGGACCTTGTGAGCCTCATGCTCTGCCAGCGAGGAGGGGAAGCCGGGAGGAAGCAGAGACAGGACACCTGACCCAAACTGACCAAAGAGGTATTCCATACCATAGCACGTCATGCCCAGGATGGAACTGGGAGTGAGCCGGAAGACTGGGAGACTGCGGGGTTGGAGGAGGCATCAGTCAGAGCATGGTCGGGCTGGGGGGGGCAAGTTATCGGTCGGCTGGTGGTGAAATGTTGTATTCTCTTCCCTTGTTATTTCCTTTATCATCATTATTACTGGTGGTAGCAGTAGTGATTTGTGTTATACCTTAGTTACTAAACTGTTCTTATCTCAACCCGTGGGAGTTGCATTCTTTTTGATTCTCCTCTCCGTCCCTCTGGGAGTAGGGGGAGGGAAAGAAGAGGGGAGGAGTGAGTGAACGAGTTACCTGACTGGGTTTAAACCACAACAGTCTGCTCTTCCTGGGATCATTCTTATCATGCATAGCACTATCTTCATGACCTAAAGCATCTTGGCCAGCTGTTTTGTTAGCAGATGTCCCCATCCCCATACCTGCTCATGCCCATACACTAAACCTCTTCAGAACAGGGGTCAATTCACTTCCAGTTAACCGTTTTAGCTGAAGACTGCAGCCAGAATACCTGTATTTCCTCATCGGGTTGCACCTCCTCAGGGTGCTGGCAGCTTCCCTTCAAGTGCTCGCAGAGCACTCAGCCCAGCTGAGCCCAGTGAACCCCTTCATAGCGTGACCTGGCATGGGCCCAACCTCTCCTGAATGACCCACTCATGCCAAGACCCCACACACAGCCTTGAGGAAGCTGAAATCAGAACAGGACACTGCTGGGAGATAGACTGAGAAAGATACAAAAGTTGTCTTCATGCCACACTGCTTGGGACTTGGGCCCTGGGCAGAATGGGGAACTCAGCAGGATCTCAGCAGAATGGGGATCTTCCAGCATCATTAAAACTTTGTCTTTACCCTTTAGATGAGGCAATCTACTTCCATAGCACCTTTGAGGTTCTTCGGGGTTTTATTTGTTTGCTTGTTTTAAAGAATCTAGAAATCATTTTTCCCCTTCACACAAAGAAATAAAAAAGGCTTCCAGATGTTCAAACAAGTTTCCTCTTCCTATAGCACCCTCGGAAAATACTGAGCTGAAGCAAGTTAGCAGAGAGGAAACAGCTGTGCCAGCGGCTGTCCTGCTTCACAAACTGTACAGTAATTTTCTATGGCGCTTTCTCAAGCAGGAGAAAATCAGCGGGTCAGTTATCAGCAAGGGGCAAATGTTTTTAATTACCTTGCAGGGAGGATTATGTCTCCTGTGTTTAATTCTCAAAGGTTCCCACTGTCAAACTAATTAGCAAGCAGCTTCACTGAAGAGCAGGCCTGAAGTTATGCAGCTTTATTCACCCAGGAGGCAAACGCCCAGCTCATTCTCCTCTGTCACACCATGGTCCTCTCTGCTAGCCAGATCAGAGCAAAGGATAGTTGATCTGGAAGAGACAAAACCACATAGGGTGCCTATTGGTAACTCTACATCATGATTCTACAGGTACGTAGCAAATAAAAAACAGACAAGGGAGAATGTAGGCCCCCTCCAGAAGCTCTCGAGAGAACTGGCTACACAGGATTTGGAGAAGGCTGAGGTTCTGAATGACTTCTTTGCCTCAGTCTTCACTGGAAAAGGCTCTGACCTCACCACCCAAGTCTTGGAAGGCAGATGCAGGGACTGTGAGAATGAAGACCTTGCGCCCACTGTAGGAGAGGATTTGGTTCGAGACCATCTTAAAAACCTGAACGTGCACAAGTCCATGGGACCTGATGAGATCCATCCGTGGGTCCTGAAGGAGCAGGCAAATGAAGTTGCTAAGCCACTGGCCATCATATTTGAGAAATCATGGCAGTCAGGTGAAGTTCCCGATGACTGGAAAAAGGGAAATATAACCCCCATTTTCAAGAAGGGGAAAATGGATGACCCGGGGAATTACAGAGCAGTCAGTCTCACCTCTGTGCCTGGCAAAATCTTGGAGCAGATTCTCCTGGAAGGCATGCTAAGGCACATGAAAATCAGCAAGGTGCTTGGTGACAGCCAGCATGGCTTCACTAAGGGGAAATCCTGCCTGACCAATTTGGTGGCCTTCTATGATGGGGCTACAGAACTGATGGACAGGGGTAGAGCAGTTCATGTCATCTACGTGGACTTGTGCAAAGAGTTCGACACTGTCCCACACGACATCCTTGTCTCTAAATTGGAGAGACATCAATTTGATGGATGGACCACTCGGTGGATAAAGAACTGGCTGGATGGCCGCACACAAAGAGTTGTGGTCAATGGCTCAATGTCCGGCTGGAGACCAGTAACAAGTGGTGTCCCTCAGGGATCGGTGTTGGGACCAGTCTTGTTCAACATCTGTGTCAGTGACACGGACAGTGGGATTGAGTGCGCCCTCAGCAAGTTTGCCAATGACACCAAACTGTGTGGTTCGGTTGATACGCTGGAGGGAAGGAATGCCATCCAGAGGGACCTTGACACGCTTGTGAGGTGGGCTGATGCCAACCTCATGAAGTTTAACCATGCCAAGTGCAAGGTCGTACACCTGGGTCGGAGCAATCCCAGGCACAGCTACAGGTTGGGCAGAGAAGAGATTCAGAGCAGCCCTGTGGAGAAGAACTGGGGGGTGTTGGTTGATGAGAAAATGAACATGAGCTGGCTGCAGTGTGCGCTCGCAGCCCAGAAAGCCAACCGTATCCTGGGCTGCATCAAAAGGAGCGTGACCAGCAGGTCGAAGGAGGTGATCCTGCCCCTCTACTCTGCTCTTGTGAGACCTCACCTGGAGTATTGTGTGCAGTTCTGGTGTCCTCAACATAAAAAGGACATGGAACTGTTGGAACAAGCCCAAAGAAGGGCCACGAGGATGATCAGGGGACTGGAGCACCTCCCATATGAAGACAGGCTGAGGAAGTTGGGGCTGTTCAGCCTGGAGAAGAGAAGGCTGCATGGAGACCTCATAGCAGCCTTCCAGTATCTGAAGGGGGCCTATAGGGATGCTGGAGAGGGACTCTTCATTAGGGACTGTAGTGACAGGATAAGGGGTAACGGGTTAAAACTTAAACAGGGGAAGTTTAGATTGGATATAAGAAGGAAATTCTTTCCTGTTAGGGTGGTGAGGCACTGGAATGGGTTGCCCAGGGAGGTTGTGAATGCTCCATCCCTGGCAGTGTTCAAGGCCAGGTT